TTTTTCCTAGGCAAGAAAAACGTTTTCTTGCCTTACAACTCCCATACAATGAAAATTTGCAAATTATATTTTTTTATCCTAAACCTTAACACTGTTCGGTTACCACACTACCACCCTGTGTTGCCGTGTTAAATAGTTTTCCTTTTTACTTTGCTAAATACTTCATATGCTGTTCCATAGCTGCCAATAACCAACTTTTAAAACTTTTGTAAAAATTAAATTTCAAAAATTTTTTATTTCAAGCAATGACATTTGTAAATTCCACGTTTTCTTAACATTTACGATACACCAATGCTTCAAGAGGAACACCCCCCCCAACTGGGGGGTCAGACATATGTACAGTGTATTAGGCAGCTACCAAACAGGGAGGTACTACCGCCTGGGAAGATATTGGAAGCATATGTTTATGGTAGACACTGCTGCCATATGGCATCACAAAAATTGTGACCAAGTCCCAGGTTGCTTATCTAACTTTCTGCCTCATATACACACAATTGCAGGGTCTCAATTGTTTCTCTTACTATTGACAACACAACATACATATATTTTCTCACGTATGACCCTTTTTCATTTTTTATTTCTTATGGTTCTTTATTATTATCATTATTATTACACCCCCCCCCCAGGTCCCGATGTGGGTCAGTGACCTGTGCCCGGGTGGGCTAATCCCCATAAAAAAAAAGTTAGATTTGTCCAAACTACCGATTCTAATGGTTAAATTCCAATGATTCCCCGGATGACAAACAAACTTAGTACCAGCTTTGGTAGTAATACAGTACTGTGGATAACATGTTCCATATGTATAAAGTTAACATTTTGTCATTGCTCGGACACTATTCAGAAGTCATTAAATCCTTCTCAAAATAAATAAATAAATAAATATATATGTATATATGTATATATGTATATATATATATATATATGCAAGTAAATCACTGTAGGTGCGCGTGATCTAGGTATATGCTGATAACCACAAGGAAAGAAGAAAACACGAAGCTCCCAAGCGCCCCCGTGCAACTCACATCTTCAGGGGCGAGCACCTTGATTTGTATTACTCTCTCTAGTCTGCACCCACCCCTGAAGACGCGAACCACACGAAAGCGCTCGGGAACTTCGTGCTTTCCCCCCTCCTTGCGGCTATCAGCATATATATATATATATATATATATATATATATATATATATATATATATATATATATATATATATATATATATATATATATATATATATATATATATATATCATAATATATATGAAAGCAGTGCCTTGTTCGTTCATGTTAGGAATAATAATCACCCCATTGCTTGGGAAAAAGCTTGGAAGTATTCAAATCATCTTGTGTCACAGAAAGACTTCTGGTTGAAGCTAGTTTGATTAAGGAATTAAAATCAATAAACCTTAGTGATGGTCAGTTCAAAACTGATAATATGTTACATAAATTTATTTGTCAGTGGCCCAAGGTTAAAAATGCTTTGAAAACCTTTGATCTTGATGTATGACAGTTATTTTGTGGGTCCCTTTTTTCTGACCTGACCTGTCTAGTCACGTCACCACCCTTCTCTTAAGCTCCTCTACGGTTGTGTTGGTGTGGGGATTAGTGGATGTCATCATTATGACCTGACCTCATGTTTTTAGGTCACCCTGTATATTTAAGCCTCTCTCTGTCCATGTAATCCAGTTGCCTCTGAAGATGTCTTGAATAAAGACGAAAGCTAAGGTACTCCGTTGTTTCCATTTTCCCGTGTGATTTTATCAAGATTTATCTTATCCACGTTTTCATTGTGATATATATATATATATATATTATATATATATATATATATATATATATATATATATATATATATATATATATATATATATATATATATATATATTTCATTAGCCCATAAAGCGCAATTCACTAGAGTCGGTGCAGCAAAGAATGACGAAAATGATTCCTGGACTTAAAAACCTTCCATATCAGGATAGGTTAAAGAAACTTAACTTGCATTCCCTAGAAAGACAAAGTGCAGGGAGATATGATAGAAGTATTTAAGTGGGTGAAAGGAATCAATTAAGGGGATATAGATAAAGTTCTTATAATATCCGAGCAGGATAGGACTCGGAGCAACGGATTTAAGTTGGATAAGTTTAGGTTTAGGAGGGAGATAGGAAGGAACTGGTTCACAAATAGGGTGGTGGACGAGTGGAACAAGCTTAGCAACTTTGTAGTAAGTGCTGGAACTCTGGAAAGTTTCAAAAGGTCAACTAGATAGATTCATGGATGATAGAGTGGTAGTATCTCTCGACAGGAGCTGCCATGCACAGGCCAACCTCACCCCGCCAGGACTCGAACCCACGATCTTATGTGTGAGACCGGGGGAACGTTACCTAGTGGTAACGCTCCCCGGTCACACACAAGATTGTGGGTTCGAGTCCTGGCGGGGTGAGGTGTGTTTATATATATATATAATTTTTTTCCAATTATATAGGACTAACCAATGAAACAATTAAAAAAAAAATAACTCGCTTGTGGGTTAGACCTACATATTGTGTACATAAGAACATAAAAATGGAGGAAACTGCAGCAGGCCTATTGGCCCATACTGGGCAGTCCTATTTACACCCAACCCCTATTGCTCATATAAGCATCCAACCTATGTTTGAAGCTATCCAGCATATTCGAGTTAATGATGATATTTGGTAACTAGTTCCATTTATCCACTACTGTTACCAAACCAGTGTTTACCTATTTCACACCTAAATCTAAATTTGTCTAATTTATAACCATAGTTAAGAGTTCGCTCCTGGTTGGATAGTGTGAGGACCTTTGTAAAGGAGCCACGAATTACCCAAAAGTACCCAAAAGTATAGCAAATAAGGGTAAAATCTTAACAAATATCTGTTATATATACACAAAACATGTTTAATAATACTTTTAGTGTAATTTTGTAAAAACAATTTGTAAGATGAAATAAACAGCGAAAAACCTTCAGTATTGGCGAACGCTAAATTCCAAAGAGTTCGTGAACAAGGGAGGTAACTCAGATCCATCGTGATGCACTTCCCTAACCTAACAAAGTAAATCCTACGGCTATGTTAAATACCTCAAAGTAACAAACATCGGTAATTATATCTCCATTTTGGATAGGCGACTCCTTGGAATTTAGCGTTTTTCGCTGTTTATTATTTCATTATTTTGACTACATTTCAATGAAAACATTATTAATCAGGTTTTATTGATGTAAAACACATTCTTCAAGATTTTACCCCGATTTAATATACTTTTGGGTACTTTAAGGTAATTCGTTGGACCGCCTTTGTAATGTCCCCTTTGTTCAGCCCTGACTTCCATTTGTACATCTCTATCATATCGCCTCTCACTACGTCTCTCGAGGGAGTGCAAATTAAAATGCTTTAACCTGTCTGTACTCAAGGTTCCTAATGCCCGGGATTAGCCTTGTCATTCTCCTCTGAATTCTTTCCAAGGATTCTATATCCATTCTGTAATACGGTGACCAGAACTGAACTGCGTTAAACAAGTGAGGTCTCACAAGCGCAAGATATAGTTTTAGGATGACCTCGCTAGTATTGAATTGATCAGGTGGTTACTCGTGGTCTAGACAATTACAACCTTCTTGAAAAGCCCTTTACAATTAATAGTCTCGGTACTGTACCTCAAAAATATTTTTGATGCACATTGCGAATTCAGTTGGATCAAGGAAACCCCGAACTCCCCTTGTTAAAGAAGATAGAAGCAGGCGAGGTAAGCACCCAGTGGACTGACGAATATCTTCCAGAAGGAAAAATATAACTTCTTTCGTTTTAAAATATACACTTTGCAACAGCCTTTTTAATGTAGCATTGGTCAAGATTGGTAATATATATTTCGCCAAAAGTATCTAATAATTATCAAGATATCTGATAGCTCTGTAACCTTCAGAATTCCCCCTCCACACCTGGAAAATCGGTTGAAATTACAAAGGTTTCGTACAAATAAGACGTGGACGTTAAAATAAACAAAATTATAGTTTCACTATAAATTCGGGAGTTGCATCTGCCACAACAGTACGTCCGCCATGTTTGCCGGGCCCGCTGATGGAGGCCAAGTAAAACTTAACTTTCACTGGCCAGTCTGAATTTAGCACAAAGTACTCACTAAACTGATTACGTCTATATTATGGCTTAAAGTCAGATAAAACCGAGGTTCATTCCCACTAAAACAATAAACCAGTCATTTCAGCAATAGTTTTGTTTTTATTCGTCTCCCAGGTCCAACATGGCGGACTTGCCACATGAAATTTGCCTCGGTTCTCAAAGGAACTTAACATGTTATTTCTTGCCCGTGGACATCTAGTATATATCTTGCTTGTATCAACTTTCTTTCAATAAGGAAAGGTGAAACTCCAAAGGATAAAGTATCACTGATCATATTTATTACAATATAACGTACTTACTAATCCCAACTATTCCCTCGTACTAACTACTGTACATTAGTTCATCACTACTATCCAACAAACTTCTACCACCAAATACAAGCTTAATACAACGTAGCTAATCTTTCCTTGCTTTATATAATCTACCTCAGGTAAAAACTTCCTGTGAACAACTACCCTGTATCGATTTTTTAATAATCAATTAAACGAGACCTATGTACAATATATATATATATATACTACGTGATGGACTACAAAGAAACAATACAGAATATAAGAAGTGGGTGAAAAGCACTGCGTATGTGGGGGAACACAAAATGGCGACACCACTGCGGCGACTGACAACCAACGAAACACCAACCAACATCTGTATCTGCGATCATCAACCTCATATTTCTCAGCATACTACCACAACCCTGACCTAATTCAAGTACAGAACCACAAAATAAAGATGAAGGCACAAAATGTACACCAAAACCCTAGAATAAAGAGATAAAAAGCCAGGCGAGATAAATCGATGAAGCTCCGTCAGTCCTCGCCATATTGAAAGAATCTGAAATAATTCACTGTTTTACTCACCGGCGGTTTCTGTATGACATGTTGTTGAGTTTCCTTTTCTCTGTGTAAGATAAACTTAATGAACTTTGTTTGGAGCAGGTGTTAGCTCCTACTGTGGGTTTACAGATGGAAAATTTGACAGACAGGTCGAGCGATGTTGGTGTAGCACGCTGGAGACCCACGGAGAAAGACCGTCTGTAAGGCAGGCGCGCGAACCACCCCATCTTGCCCTCGTGCCGGTGTTGACGCCTGAACTTACATTAACGTTTTTAACGGATCATTATATCATTTGACAATTTCAACATAACTGGAAGATTTTATATATATATTATTACCATATAGCAAAATGTTTTTTCATAATTTAAATCAATTGAATGGATAATAATACAAAATATACGTTTAATGGCAACTCGGTAGGGAACATATGAGTAAGAGAGAGCGCCCATCCCAACCCTTGTTCAATAATTTTGTTATCCTTGATATCTGAAGGAATATGTGCTCTTAAAGGAGTCAAGTTTATTAAATTATAAATATACAATTACAAAATAAATGTATATTCCACTTAAACTTAATATGAGATCGTATAGCGGGCATTTCTATTTTTTTTGACGGAAATGCGTCCGAAAGTGTTTACATGACTTTATGTATAAGGATATTATGCAAAGAAAAAGTATTTGAGAAATGTAAGTCAATAATTTCTTATAGTTATGTAGTATTAATATTCTCAATAACTATTTAATTCTTCAATTTAATGGAATATTAATAAATAAAGTTCAACTTATTGTATCCCAAGTCACTCAGTATGTTCGAACTAATATATAAGGCCTTGAAACATGTACTGCTAAAGCAACTAAACATACGCCAGAGAGAGGGGTTCTCCACGTGGGACTTTGCAATCGAGTCTTCTACTCACGTTGTAAAACTGAGTTTATCAAAGATTACTTAACAAAAATAATAAATATATTTTAGTTATTGGCTACGTCAACTTTACCATAAAATCGGACTTTTATAATTTTGTATATACTGTATTAACAAAGAGGTGAATGTAGTTATATAAGAAGGCTGTACTAGGGAAATTTCACATATTACCAAGTAAAATGCTTTGATAACATGGGATAACGACAGAACAATGTCACAGGGGTAAAAGGAAATGCACTGGATGCACCCTGTAGAATGAGCTGAACATTATCTATGATATGTATGTTAATGATTTGAATCTCTTAAAGAGAACATATGCAGAGCATATTGTGGTGTGTGCAGTTAGCAGCGCCCTAGATTGACAACTTTAATGACAAGTGCTTAACCCATGCTGAAAGGAAAAAAAATCACATTTGCGCTGGCTCGGCAGAACATATTATTCTGAAGCAAAAATACTTTTAATTTATTCCCAAATCAGCGCATAAACTAGGAAAACCCAGTGCATTTTAATTTGGCGAGATGACTGATAGGGCTCGCTTCAGACCCTTAAGTATGGCGAAATAGTCCCCTTCACGTTGTCAAGGAGCCATGGTACTCAAGCATGCACGGAAGCTTTGAGCTTACACACAGTTTTATCGAAATAAATTATATTATTAATATCATTTACCTTGCCAAACTTATCCTTCAAGAACATTTCAATGAGTCATATGCAAGAAACATTTGCTTATCCGCTGACCCCATCAGAAGTGCATGTGAAGCCAGAGATGTTTGGCAAGGTGCAGGGTCAGTGTGATGCTCTGTCGGAAGAACAGCTCTGATGTAATGTTACCTCCCCATTCCACAACTTATTTACTAGAACACTACTGTATTATCATATTATGACCTATTTACTAATACACCACCACCAAGCCACATCAGACCCTGTATACTGGTACATCAGCATCTCTACTGCATCTCTCTTGTTGGATCACTATAGATTACTATAGCCAAACTGTATCAAATAAAGGTATGAATACTTGGAATCGCGAAACAGCACACTCCACATTTGTGTGCTGAGTGAAATCAGATTATCCAGACAGCAAAGGGGATTCAATGAACACGGTTTAATCAATTGATCTTAAATAGGTTACAAAGGTGATGAATAATATGATGAAAAAGAAACTGCGAAAAGAGATCCATGCGACTAGTAAATTACGTAATACATTGGCACGGGATGTCTGCGTATAAAAATTCTAGTGATTAAACCTCACATCACACACGTTGTAGGTCAAACTCGCCTTTGCCTTTGGTATTGATTGATACATTGGTTTGTTCCTGGCAACAGCGAGTTATGTCAATCGCGAATCAAGATAGCACAGGTTTAAGGTGTTTAAATTAATAAAAAAAAATTGATTTTTTTATTCTAAAAGCGTAAATTACTCAACGCAAAACAAATTACTAAAATATGCTATGATCTCAGAATATCAATATAATTTGTTCATTGCCTTCTTTGTACGGCTTATGGTGACGTCACAACAGGCCTTCCCCTGCTCCAACGATCCCAATCTTCCACCCTCGACGCATGATGACGTCACCATTACGCAACACGAGCGACGTGGCTTCATTTTTTTGTTGCTATTTGAGCTACATCAGGGAGCTTCGTCTATTACCCCCAGATGGTATCTTCAAGTTTTTATATGGTCTTAATAATTTTGTTTAATGTGTGTAATATGTGTAATTATCATGGATACTGGTAGTATGTTTATAGGTTTCCAACTAACAGTAACAAAATAGATGCCAGAAATTCCAGTGTGAATAACTTTACCTAAAATTGCGATTATTCTGATAGGGCAAGTAAGTAAACTGAATAGAATTAACAGGAAAATATTTTATATTTACACTAAACCTAATTTCAGGATAATATATAAAATAGATAGCTATATGAATCGTACTAGGAGGAGAGAATCGATAATAACCCGTCTACAGCTCAACACCACAATGTTGCCACAGAGGATTTCCACCTCGTGGAGTCCGCCAGCTAGACTTTCGTTTTGTTTTACCTCTTTATATACCTTTGGCCGTTAGCAAGCTATTACTGCTGCTTATAAAACACACAGAGTCTATTCTTATGTCGAGGAATCTTATTTTATAAAGAATATAATAATACTATTCATTTTTTAGAGAAACAAAAAGCCTAGCTGGCACACGTGCCTCTCCCCTCCGTCGTTGAGCGCCATCACCGCCACCGCACCTTCCCGACCCTGACCAAAACCTTCATGCCTTCATCCTCTCACTCAGACGAATTTATTGAGAAAATAAAGTAGCTCCTCTTGTTTTTTCCTCTAAATATACTAATACTATGTTGATTATTCATGATGCTTTGGTTTTCTCTAAATATCTGGATTGATTTCATTTTGGATGTTTTTGTCAGGTGCATCTGGAGTTGCACGTTTCTAGGAACGCCCACGTAGGGTTCGACGTACGGACATGACGCAGTGTTACATTCCCGGTTATTTTAGTTGCTACACAGTAAGATCTTCCCAACAATCACTGATATAGACAGCAGGACAATTATAACAGAATGGAATGCTGTCTTAAATTATTATATCATAATTAAGCATACTTTTATTACTAAATTAAAAACCTAAAACCTTAGATTGATTACATTATCACTGTATTTGAAATTATTGATTTAAAACTTAAGTTATTTCTGATTAAAACAACAAACCCCTTATTTACACCTAAATTAATGGGATCAGTGACCTTATTACTACACTTAGGTATATTCATGAATTCCCACCTCAGTTGGATAAGAACGAACACTGGCTGCCTCAGTGAATTCAACACCAGTAAGATGTAATTAGTTATCACATCAACTTTTAGAGGGAAATTGAATTGACAAAACATCCTTAGATAATCCAGCGGGCAGATATGCTTGGGCCATATAGCTTAATTTTAATACTGTTGACCAATAAACATCTACAGTAAGCTCAATATTCAGTATTCACCATTATTTATTGACAATTTCTTATGGATCTGTTCCACAACCACCTACAATAAGGTGGAAGGGGTGAGGCAACACCCTGGATATACTCAAATGAAACACTCCTCCTACAGTACATCCGGGAAACGAATGTCTGTTTACGATATATCTTGTTGAAATTCTGTATGTGTGTGCGTGTGTGCGCGCGCACACCAGACGAGCCATTTACCAGGAAAATTTACCTGGACTCAGCCTTTCATGTGGCGTCGGTCAGCACGTCTTCTTACAAGGTTCTTCTAATCCTCATTGCTGACTTTTTCACTCTACAAACACAAGAAATTTACATAATGACGCCCGTTAATAGATACAGAAGCAAACATAGGTAGGGGCGGATCGATGTGTAAAAACACGAACGCCAATAACTAGCCATTATATAACACGTCAGTCGTAACCAGTGCTACCAACTTAACAGACAGCCCAGTCATAGTAAGTTCTTTCCCTCACTGATTTATTTCATTCAGCAAGAAAAAATACGTTCAAAATGAATGAAAAGGCTTTTAAGTTTACTTCGAAAGTAATTAAACAAATCACTATTACAATTATATTTCTACTTACTGTATATTTGAAGAATATCCAGCCAAATAATAGTTTAAATGGCTGTCCTTACATTTCGCTACAGTCTTCACACAGCTGCAACAGAGCTCAACAAAATTTATATATACGGTACCATTCACATGATTAGTTGGTTCTGGAGATGGGTAGCCCTGTAATAATTCAGCAGTTAGGGGAAAAGCGGTAAAAGCAGAGATCATGTATATGAAATGCACCACTGGGAACGATGATAACATTATTCGAGGACAGACTTTTATTCTGAAATCATCTACCAGTAATATTTGATTCGAATTAACAAAAAAAAGTGTTATTATGCAAGTTACTGTTCAGTACAGACTCCCAAACCGCCACATGTTGACATTAGAACGTGTTATTGCACTTTAACAGTTAATGTCTTTAATCTGAGCACGTATTTTAGATTATTACATGCAATAGTCGTAAAAAATAAAAATTAAGAGATACAATCAATGGCTCTCTCTGTCTTGCCAATTTTCTTCACGATGCACGAGTCTTGCATTTATGTGAAATTGAAATTGAAATACTTCATTGCAAATAAAACTATTACATCATAAGGACAGGGTAGTATACTACCCCAACCCTTACCTTTCTCATCCCCTTCTGGGGCTTACAAAATATAATAAATTTTAATACAAAAATTATTTTTACGTCAATGAAATAGTTCATTTTGGCACGAACACTACTACATTAAAAGAACGGATAATGTAATCCTACACAAAATTAAATGTC